TGGGTCCATGTAGCTGGGCAGGGTTGCTCCAGCATAAGTACCGTCTATCCTATTTGATGGCCCTCCCCCGGGATCACCGGGGAGTGGGGGAAAGCCCGCGCCCAGCATCGCCGCTGGTGGGGCGGAATTTTTCCAGAAGACACCAGTACCAACAATCAATACGAAACTAACGATTTTAAATTGGCTCACCACTTTAGTAGCCTATTGGTCCCAAGCAAACGATTAACGTACCCTATTCTAGTTGAAATTCTATTACTACACTATGTTTGTTTTGATTCGCTATGAAAGTTTGACAGATAACATCAGGGGTGTGTGGATTCATGCAGAACATGCAGGGGTGAGTGAAATAGCTTGGGACTGCTTGGGACCGTTGTTCTGGTACTGAGTGAGCCAAAAATAATAATGATTTTCTTCGGGACCCAGTGGTCTTAGAGTTACCTCTATGCCAGTACCGTGTGATATTACCAAATTCAAAGTGCAAAATGATTTGATTCGGTTTGGATAAACCGTTTGCTAATTAAATTAGCAGTGGAATACGAAGACTCAACGGCGATATGAGAATACCAACCGTAGATTCAAACGGCAGAGAACTTGCTTACAAGAGTGACCGACGGGCTACGACTTGCATACAAGATTCACGGCTCTAAACGTGACCCTGTTGACAGCAATGGATGCTGTTTACTGTGCGCTACAATGCTCACTAAACTTTGTGATTTTTCCACTCACCAGGGGAAAAACTGATGAATCTCCGTGCTATGGCGGCTCCTTGCCGGTCCGCGAAGCAGCTCTACACCTCTAAATGAAAAATTTCACTGTATTTCACTTGCTACGGTGCGAAACGCTGGAGCTCCTTTATTGCACACCCGAACGAAGCGAAACCGAACGTTGCAGTGAATCGATTGTCTGTCAAAGTCATAGAAAAAGTCATTCCAATCGAGCAGAAGACCTGTCAAATGGATAAGATGTCGTCTCTTTATAAATTCAGGCTCTTTAACTACACTGAACCAAAACATCCGCAATACTTCGAATGATTATTGCATTGCTCGAGCCCTTTAACAATATGCATTTGAATTTCGGATGATTTTCTTATAGTTGAATTCGTCGTCAGATGATGAACATCCATATGGCTGTCATCCAAATACAGGATAATTTTCGTTTGAAAATTAGCTATAAAACATATGGCACTCAGAGGACAATCATTTAAGAATAGTGTGACATGCAAGTGCTTTTAATTAGATTTATAATTTGATAATCTACAATTCCATACTGAATAGCCTTTATGCATACAACAAATTTTCGTGGTGGAGAAAACCTCCTTCACCACGAATTATCAAACATTGGTTTTCATCCTTTACCTATGTTCGTAACAGCTCTGATAGCGATGCATATGCTTCCACCTCGTTTGTCAGCTCAGATCAGCAAATGACATTCGATAGAATTTACATCATCGTTTTGAATGATTTGCGTTATGGGGCTGAACCAATACCATATGCATTTCCATTTAGTATGACAGTCATTCTGCAGAGAGCATTACGTATTTCAACTGAAGGCCCTATCCCTTCTCATAACAAGTTTCATCCTGTATTCGAGAGGAAAATCATCTGATTTCAAAACAATCGTCATCCGGTTGCAGCTATCATTCGAAAAAGCTATTTCGGTGTTTTGTTTTGAATGGTCTGAGGTTTCATTCGATCAGAGGATGATGTTCGTGTACAGTGTAGACCCTCTCTACACAGCAAAAAAAAAATAACCCCTCATTTTATCTGTCAAACTTTCATTGCGAATCAAACCAAACATTGCGTAGTACTAGAATTTCGACTAGAATAGGGTACGTTAATCGTTTGCTTGGGACCAATAGGCTAGTCAAGTGGTGAGCCAATTTAAAATCGTTAGTTTCGTATTGATTGTTGGTAACATGGTGTATACATCAGAAATTTTGGAACAAAATTTTGCCATTCTAATGTCGGTCTGACGTCAAAAATTTCAATCTCTTGACATTAGAACCAAACGTTTTAAGGATGTTTTCGGACCCGTATTCGGTTTTCCCATCGAGATCCGTATTCGGTTTCCCCATTGGGATCCGTATTCGGTTTCCCCATCAGGATACATCGGGATCCGTATTCGGTTTCCCCATCGGGATACGTATTCGGTTTCTCCATCGGGATCCGTATTCGATTTCCCCATCAGGATCCGTATTCGGTTTCCCCATCAGGATACATCGGGATCCGTATTCGGTTTCCCCATCAGGATACGTATTCGGTTTCCCCATCGGGATCCGTATTCGGTTTCCCTATCAGGATCCGTATTCAGTTTCCCCATCAGGATACATCGGGTTCCGTATTCGGTTTCCCCATCGGGATCCGTCTACGGAATCCCCATCGGGATCCGTAATCGGTTTCCCCATTGGGACCCGTATTCGGTTTTCCCATCGGGATCCATATTCGGTTTCCCCATCGGGATCCGTCTACGGAATCCCCATCGGGATACGTATTCGGTTTCCCCATCAGGATACGTATTCGGTTTCCCCATCAGGATACGTATTCGGTTTCCCCATCGGGATCCGTATTCGGTTTCCCCATCGGGATCCGTATTAGGTTTCCCCATTGGGACCCGTATTCGGTTTTCCCATCGGGATCCGTATTCGGTTTCCCCATCGGGATCCGTCTACGGAATCCCCATCGGGATCCGTATTCGGTTTCCCCATTGGGACCCGTATTCGGTTTTCCCATCGGGATCCGTATTCGGTTTCCCCATCGGGATCCGTATTCGGTTTCCTTATCAGGATACGTATTCGGTTTCCCCATCGGGATCTATATTTGGTTTCCCCATCGGGATCCGTCTACGGAATCCCCATCGGGATACCTATTCGGTTTCCCCATCGGGATCCGTATTCGGTTTCCCCATCGGGATCCGTATTCGGTTTCCCCCTCGGGATCCGTCTACGGAATCCCCATCGGGATCCGTATTCGGTTTCCCCATTGGGACCCGTATTCGGTTTTCCCATCGGGATCCGTATTCGGTTTCCCCATCGGGATCCGTCTACGGAACCCCCTGCGGGATCCGTATTCGGTTTTCCCATTGGGACCCGTATTCGGTTTTCCCATCGGGATCCGTATTCGGTTTCCCCATCGGGATCCGTATTCGGTTTCCCCATTAGGATACGTATTCGGTTTCCCCATCGGGATCTATATTTGGTTTCCCCATCGGGATCCGTATTCGGTTTCTCCATCGGGATCCATCTACGGAACCCGTCATCGGGCAAACTCCCCGCCGGGATCCAGCTTCGGACTCCCTACCGGGATTCGGCTTGGGACTGGTACACTTTCCTAAAAAAATAAACATAATTACATTACATTACATTAATAAATTCACATTTACTTACTAGAAAAACATTGAATCGCCACCAAAACTCGCGACGGACACATTATCGGGCTAATTCGTCGAAAAACCCTCGGAAAAACCAAACTTTTCCCACTGCGAAAAAAAACTGTACACGGTTAATGAGATCAACGCAAATTTGAGTACAGTGTACTCAATATCGAAAAAAGTGCAGGACTAGGGGAAGGACAGCTCCAAGTATCAGTATCAATACCGATGGTGGAAATATTAAATATTTTAATATGTGTGATATTTGCGAATCTTTTACTTAGTCTGACAGTTGTTTTTTGTTTGTTTTTGACTTTTTTGGTTTTAAGTGTACATTTGACATTCGTTTAATCAAAAATGCATTTCACATGAGCGGCAAGTCATTCCTTTGTGATCTTGCTGGCCACCGCCACCAAAATTCGCTCCTTGTTCTCATAAATTCGGCATTTTTGGGTAGCTGTTCTCTGTGCACATAATCGGCCGCACTTCCATTCCCAGGAATAAATTTCCACGAATTCTTCATCGTCTGTGAACCAATGTGCTGTTCTCCGATGGAACGAGAATCGATTGACAACGCCGCCCCTGTTAACATCCCAGAGTGATGGTTCCGTGGTCGTATTACGCTCGATTCGCCATGAGCATGCAACTTGGAGAGATTTGTTGCTGGGGGAACGTCTAGTACCGTTTTTATCATGAAAAACCGAAGTCGAAATCGATCAGAGCTATCGAAAACGAAAATCTAGGCAAAAATTATGACAAACAGAAAGCTGCAGTAAACATAAACAACAACGGTGCAACGTCATTGAGTGTATGCGTTAAAGATACACTGTTATTTTGTTTTACTTTGAAGCTTTCCGCTTGACAGTTAATATCATTAATATTTATATTAAAAATTATAATAACTACCAATTTGAGCAATTTTTACATCAAATATTACTTCAGATAAAGTTGTACTTCCCCTAGGTTAGGTTCTGTTGTCATTGGATGTATTCTGATGTCAAATTTTACATCGTCAAGACGTTTGATTCTGATGTAACGTTTGAGGCTAATGTATTTTTATGTACTTGGACGTCACACTGAAGTCTGAATACATTAAGGGTACAGCAATACACGTTAAAATTTAACGTATTGAAGATGTCTGTTGATGTTTCCTACATTACAATTCTATTCGGGCGGTGCCAAATGCTGTCAAATACAATTGATTTCGATATTGTTGAAATAAGCATGCTTTTGAATTTAATTCACCCATAAATATTTAGATTTAAACATGCTTTCAATTTACTTTGAATAATTAACATGTGTAGAGTTTATATTTTTGATTTAAATGCACAAAATTCGTATCCGTCTTGTCAATCATAACTTATTTTACTTATTTTTGAGCGGCACTTTTGACCGAAATGAGTAGATCCTAATCAAATTTGGGGAGTTTAGAAATAGCGTGTAATTTCTCACAGATTCGCTTTTTCTCGCTAAATCCACCACGTGGGCTAAATCGGTGCTGTTTATCGCCAAAGTGTCAAACCGATAAAAATGACACACACAGAAACGAGAAAAAGTAGGAGGAAGCAAAAACCGTGAAACGTCGCCTTGGCTTGCAAGCTCGGTCGTTCGTAAGGTAACATTTTCCCCGTACCCGTCGTTCGTTCCGTACGTGAATCAGCCAACAGCCGTAGCAAGATGTAATCTCGCGATCCGCAGCGCAGAGTGAGTGTTCCAATAAAATTGGTACCATCAACTACGAACGAACTACTTTTTTCGTTTACCGTCGTCGTCGCGGACAAGAGGAGTCGGAATTTTCTCTATTATTTTCGCTAATAAACTCCTCGGGGCAGATTCCAGTCGCGCGAGTGCCTGTGTATGGTGAAAGAAACTGTCGCCTGGTTAGTTCCAGCGAAATTCGGATTGCATTCCGCGGGTTTCCTGCGTAGAAAAAAAAAAAGGTTGGAAAAGAGTGCAAAGTGCGTTGTGGTGAGGGTTTGTGTTGTGGCAGCTTCCTCCCCCGTTGCTTTTGCATTCGGATAACGGCACAGTGAAAATTTTGGATTGAATTCGGGTAGGAAAATAATTGACCACAAAAAGGCATAGTAAATTCGGGTTAAAAGAACGGAGGAGCACCTTAATTTGTGACCTTCGCCGAGATTCATATGACTCGCTCGTTGTGTGTTTGTGTGCAACGGAATCGAACAATAAGAAGACTGCCCTAGAAGCTGAAGCTGACTGCCTGTCCGTGACAAGTCGTGTGTGGAGAGGGAGTGGGATCGGTTTCATTCGCAGCCTCAGCAGAGCACCAGCCAGCAGGTCTAGAGATTGCAAAATCTATATTTTCCATCACTTGCTTGTGTCTGAGTCTGGGATGGTGTCTCCGTGAGTTGCACAGACTGCAGCACTTCATCATCATCGTAGTCTGTATTTTATTTTAACACCATACTTAGCTGGAGATGATGTCGGGGAAAATAAAAGTGAATAAAGTGAAAAGTACCTTGCTAAGCTGAGAAAAATGCAAACGAGAAAACAGGAAGGGTGTTGCTGCTGCTGGTGCATCGGCAGAATAGTGTACTGGTTTATATAACGAAGCGAAAGGGAAGAGAATCGTGTGTGCAATCAACACTATTGTGTTGCGATACCCTTCCTAGTGCAGCGCTTGTTTACGATTTCTGGACCTGCCGGAGGAATATAACAACGAAGGCACAAAGGGGGATCAAGTGCAGTACAGTATCGAATTTCTGCGCGAGGCGCTGTGTGTGTGTGTGCATGTTTTAATCTTAAAAAATAGAATACAGTAAGTGTATCTAGGTCTGGTTGCAATCTGTGTGAGAATGCATCAATCGAATGAGCGAGGATGTCTTTGTCAAACTATTTCTTATTATCAATGAAGTTTCAATACGCGGAAAGGTGGGATTCATATATCGCTTTACTGACGTTGCTGCATTTAATTTTCACTTGCATTGGAGGGTATAAAAACCATCCTTGCTTCAGTACAAGATAACAAGTTTTGAAGCTTCTTTTTTTTGTGATAACAAGCATTACTCATAAAAAAAAATATCTGATAAGGGGGGACCTTGTCACGAAAAAGTTATGGTGACTTTTGTGCCTGTGCCTGTAACTAGTGACATTTCTCGCTAATAAAGCATAGTTGAATCTTCAATTTAACCCTAGTAGTGACATAAATGGACTAAAACGGATATTGATGATAATTTTATTAGCGGGCAGTAAAACGAACCGATCTGTTCAAGAGTGCGAAAACTATTATATTATCTTGCTTAAATATTTACATATAGCCTACTGTGATTGAATGATACTTACTTAACGATCCTGCGCACCTCCAGGGCCTTTGTGAAAGATTTCCATCCTGGGCGATTACTAGCTTTGGCCTTGACCTGTGCCCAAGTCAAATTTCGGTCAACGTTCTTAATTTCGCTGTTTAGGCTCCGCCGCCAAGAGCCTCTGGGTCTGCCTATGCTGTGATGTCCTGCTGGATTCCAGTCCAGTGCTTGCAGATTGCAGTGCTTGCAGATTTCGTTTCCGCTCCGTCGTAGTGTGTGGCCGACCCACTTCCACTTCCGTTCACGAATTTCTGTCTCTATCGGCTTCTGATGACACAAACGATGAAGCTCGGAATTTGAGATCCAATTGTGGGGCCACCAGGCACGAATTATGTACCGCAGGCATCGGTTGATCACCTGCAGCTTCTGAGCGTTCTCTACTGATAAACACCATGTTTCACTGGCGTATAACAGCACAGACTTCACGTTCGAGTTAAAAATTCGGATTTTGGTGCGTCGACTGATCTGATTCGCTCTCCATACATTTCGCAAACCGGCAAAAGCAGCCCTCGCCTTCTTAATCCGTGCATCTATGTCGCTCTTGGTGCCGCCGTCCGACGCTATCTGGCTGTCAAGATATTGGAAGCCAAGCTTTCGACTTTCTCCACTGCCTGCCGAGCTACCGTAAAATTGGAACGGTTTTCCGTGTTGACATCCAACGATTTGGTCTTGTTGACGTTGATGGTTAGACCTGCTTCAGAGGAGCGTTCCACAAGGTCGTCGAGCTTAGTCGTTGAGATGCTCCATGGTAATAGGCTGCCACAGCAACCCACGGTACGGTACACGGTCAACGGCTCCAACCATGATCTCGTCGATTACGATGAGGAACAGTAGCGGTGATAATATACATCCTTGCCTCACACCCGCGATTACCCGAATCGGGTCAGACAAAGTTCCGTTGTGCAAAACTCTGCATGAGCAAGCCTCGTACTGCGCTTCGATGAGGTTGACGATCTTATCAGGGACTCCCTTGCGTCTCAGAGCGCCCCACAAGTTATCGTGGTTTAGTCGGTACCAAGTACAGGAACTCTTGGAACTCATTGACCTGCTCCAAGATGATGCGGAGCGTGATAATATGGTCCACACAGGATCTTCCAGCACGGAATCCTGCCTGCTGTCGTCGGAGAGTTGCGTCGGTCTTCTCCTGTATCCGAGTGAGGATAACTTTACACAGAACTTTGAGAACAATACACAGTAACATGATGCCTCGCCAGTTGTACAGTTGGATCCCCCTTCTTGGGGACATTTACCAAGACGCCCTGCATCCAGTCGGTCGGAAAAGTCGCGGTGTCCCAGATATTGACGAATAGTTGATGCAACATTTGTGAGGATAGCATGGGGTCAGCTTTGAGCATCTCTGCTGATATGCGATCGACCCCCGGGGCTTTGTTGGACTTCATACTTCGGATGGCTGCTTATATCTCCTGCAATGATGGAGCTTCAGTGTTGACGCGAGTAACGCGCCTCACCCTTGGCGGATCATGCCGAGATGTTGGTGGTTGGTTGACCGTTGAAACTTCGAGAAGTTGTTCAAAGTGCTCAAACCAACGTTTCAACTGGTCGGTGAGCAACTGTCCAGTCGCGTCTTTCACAGGCATCCTTGGGTTCATCATTGCCCCGCTCAGGCGTCGTGAAACATCATAGAGGAGGCGGATATCGCCAGTTGCTGCGGCTTTCTTCCCTTCATCAGCCAGGGAGTCCACCCACGCTCGCTTGTCCCGTATACAGGAACGGTTAACTTCCCTCTCTAGAGCCGAATACCGCTGACGAGCCTCGTTCTTGACTCCTTGGGTCCTTGCTCGCTCTATCGTGGCTTTCGCTTCTCTCCGCTCCTCGATCGTCCTCCAGGTTTCATCGGTGATCCACTCCTTCCTGTGAGTGCGCAGCTCACCCAGGTTGTTCTCGCTTGTTTCAATAAAAGCATTCTTGATGCTCGTCCACTGTTCTTCTACGCTGCCACCTTCCGGAATATTAGCTGCGCGAGCCTCGACGAACGATCTCTTCACTGCTGGGTCTTCCAGTCATCGTGTGTTGAATCGCCGCCCGAGTCTCTCTTCTCGCCGTTGAACCCGTGCAATGCGTAGGCGGATCTCACCGACCAGGAGATGATGTGTCGCGATGTCAACGCTGCGTTTATTCCGAACATCAAGAAGGCTCCGTCCTCATTTTCGGCTGATGCAGATGTGGTCGATTTGGTTCTCTGTATATCCATCACGGGAGACCCATGTGACTTTATGCACTGGGCGATGGGGGAAGAGCGAACCCCCGATCACCATGTCGTTGTTGCCACAAAACTCTGCAATCAGCTCGCCGTTCTCGATGGACCATGGCGTCCCATAATGCGCTCATAGTCCGAGTTGTCGGAGCCGATCTTCGCATTGAATTCGCCTGTGTAGATCTTGATATCACCTCTTGGAGTCTTATCCACGACCATGCTTGGCATACACATTTTTGATCACGAACTGCTCATTTGCTAATAACTTTGCACACAGTTGACAAAAAATAGTTCTGTTTGAAGCAGTAGATAGAATAAAGTTAGAGCTTGTACTAGGTACGTATGAAAAAGTAGATTTTAATTCTAGTAATAAAACTGTATTTGTTTTTGCGTTGTAAAAATCTAGTGAGAAATGCTCGCTGCACATCTCAGACTTAATGTGTAAAAATTCATTGGTGTCGATTCAATAGTTATGATTTACCTACTCTTTGCATATCTATAGTAAGCTATGATCCTTATCTATCAATTACTTTAAAGAAAATCAATTTTCAATAACTGAGTGAAAAGTTATTAACAAATGAGACTGCCATCTTGGGTATAGCTTTCGGGGAGAAGCATTTCGTATTCAGCCGCTGGATGCCAGTCAGACGCTGTTTGAGCCGCTCCTAACATGGAGAACAGACGCTCGGGTTTTGTAAGTCACATCCTCCGAAAAGGATGCAGCTCCCCCTTCCCTGTCAGCATACGACCAAAGTTCCCACCAGGGTTGATTCTCCGTTATTCCCTAAGGTTACTAGTACCCCAGCCGGCGCCGTGGGATGGAAGGGATAGGAGTTACTGAGCAAGAAGCTAAGGACCACTTTCTCTTGCGTGACGGGTCTATTTTATAACCTTCAAGTACGCGAAGTACCGGTGGTACGCATTATCCCAGTCTTTTGCCAGTCGATCGAATGATAGGTGTAGCTTCAATCATGGGTTGCTTGTACTCCTTCTCTCCTTCTCAAGCTGTATCGCTTGAATTCCCATCTCCTTCCGACAGGTCTCTAGCTTCACTCTCGCCAGCGGCTTGGTCAAGGCGTCGGCGATCATGGACTCGGTAGGGCAGTATACAACCTGGATTACGTTGTTGCTGACCAAGTCTCGGATGAAGTTGAACCGCGTGTCGAAGTGCTTGGTTCTTCGACTTCCTTCTTCAGCTCGCAGCATAGCTATGCAGCTCTGATTATCTTCGCTGACAACGATCGGCCCGGCAGCTTTCTCACCAACATCCTTCATTAGCTTCTGCAACCAGAGCAACTTCCGGCAGGCCTCGGCTAGGGCGACATATTCCGAGCAGCCCAGGAAATCGGTCCGCCCAGATGGAAAACAAAGCTCGAGTTTGATTTGTGGTCTTGATGATCTCCGGCCCAATCAGCATCCACGTATGCTTGCAGTTGGCCAGGTCCACCGAGCTCCAGCTTCAAATTCGCAGTCGACATCTGGTACCGCAGAGTCCGCTTGGCTTCGGTCCAGTCAGCCTGGCTAGGCTTTGCGCCCCAGAATGGACGCACTGATGGCAATATCGGGCCGCGTGTTTACCGTTACATACAGCAAAGCACCCACTGAGCACTGAAAATCGTCCTTCCGTGGCATTGGTTGCTCCTCCTTTTGCTGTTGCTTCTGGTAACCTGGATCCATTGGTATACGGGATGGTTTAACGTCTGCTTGTCCAAATCTTGCAGCGATTCTACGGATATACGAGGCTTGATCCAGCAGGAATCGTCCATCCTGTCCTCGCTCGAATACCAAGGTAGTTGCTGTCTTGAAGTGCTGCTTCAGTGTCGCTTCGATTCTTCTGTACTCCGTTTCATCCTGGCAAGCTATAAGCATGTCGTCGCGGTAAACGCGTAAAGCAGTACAAATGCCTCACAAACAGACAAGGATCTGCTTCCGATGGCACGTACCCCAAGCTTTGCAGTACTTCGGTGATTCGCTGATTCCATACTCGTCCTGCCTGCTTCAGCCCGTACAAACTTTTTCGCAGCAGGCACACGTAGCTCTTCGTACCGGTCGAGAATCCAGGCGGCTGCCTCATGTAGATGGTTTCGGCTAGGTTCCCGTACAGGTAGGCTGATTTAGGTGACCACATGCTTCACGAGTAGCTTCCTCTTGGCGGCAATCGATAGCAGCGTGCGAAAGGTAGTCATAATCGGTACCGTATCGTTGGCTGAATCCTTGTGCGACAAGTCTTGCCTTGCATTG